GCAGCAGAGGGCGAAACAGCAGGAGATGGAGCGCCTGCAGAGGAAATGAAGCGCAGCAAGAAGGAGGCAGAGGAGGCGGAGCGGCAGCAGAGGGCGAAACAGCAGGAGATGGAGCGCCTGCAGAAGGCGGAGCAATGCCGAGCAGAGAAGAGGGCCAGACTTGCATCCTACGCGGAACAGCAGCGGCAACTGGAGGCAAAGGCAAAGGCGATGGCTGAAGAGACGGAACGATTGGCAAGGGAGATGGAAGAGGAGGATTTGACCATGCAGGGGGAGGGGACCTGGACAGGAGTCGAGGAGGAAATAGTTGAGGGGTTGGGGACTTTGCTGTTGATTGAGAGCGGGGAGGCGAATGTAGCAGAGGGCGTGCTTAGTGTTCCTGTACGGAATGTAGAGGTGTCCAGGAGGCGGCCTAGACAAGAGGACAGGGAGCCGGAGGGTCATGCGGCTAAGAGACGGCGTGCAGCTGGAATACAGGAGTTGATACCCATAATCCAAGGGGAAAAGAAAGGGATGAAGATCGACAAGTGTGACAACAGGAAAAACGCCGTAGTGGACGACAAGGGTAAGACTTTGGGTGTCTGCCTGCCGTTCAGGGGAAGCGGGTTCTCTCAACGCGGCGAGGGAGCTTTGCAGAAGTGGACGTCTGAGCAGACCGTCGGCGGCCGGAAGCGGAACCTCGGCTCTCACAAAACGGTGTGGGAGAGGGCATACACGGTCGCAGTCTGCTGGAAGTTCTACTTCCCGGATATTGACATGCAGGCATACGGCATGAATCCAAACCGTATTAACAAGTGGCGGGAAGACCTCGACTTCACAACGTGGCTTCCAACAGGGGTGTGGAGCGTCATCAACGAACTCCACCTGGACAAACCGGACGGGTGAGTGTTTATGTGATGTACAGTTGCAACTTCTATACACCCGCGAAGTTCGATGGTTCTGATCTTGCGACACTGGTGTCTTGTGCAGATTCTCACTCGTTCAAACCAACACGGCTCTTCGGCAGCAGCAGGGGGATGGCTTTCAGGTAGCTGCCTGCGCTGGTGTCGGAATAACTGCGTGGCAGAAGATGGTGGGAGGCGTGGAGGGTGAAAACGGCTATTCGACGGAAGAACACGCAATCGGACTTGCCGCCACGTTGTCTGTAATGTGGGCCGCATCCACGAATGTGGACCAGACCCAGTGGGAGACGGGCGCAACAACAGCTGCACGTGGAACTTCTACGGCCATAGCATCTTCTGCTGCCAGATCGTCCACTGCTGCCACCGCCTCGTCGGATGCCTCGTCATCTTCTGCGGCCGATGTGCCCTCTGCCGTCCACAATGCCCTTGCGACGCTTGCAGCCTCGGTTGCTTGCGTTGCGGTTGAGGCGATGAGGTCGGTAAAGGATCAGGAGCATGACAAGGAAGCGTGGATTCTGCCCCTGTCGGATGCGCTGCTGAAAGCGCTTCCGGCAGAGTCGCGAGCGGCCGAGGATGCGAAGCGCGATGACGAGGGTGGTGGCAAAGGTGGTGACCTCTTGGTGCCTATGCAGCATGGCATCAAGAGGCCTTCGCCAGCACCAGGGCGTCTGGCTCGGAGTCCTGCAGAAGAAGTTGGGCGGCCGGGATACCACAACAGGGGCGGATAAGGAGAAGAAAACCAAGAAATCGTCCGCGAAGGGGAACGCGACGAAGGATGCGTCGACGGAGGAGAACACCGGCACTGGCGGCCAGGATTGATAGAGGAAGACGGGTTCTTTGGAGGTCTTGTTAGTACCGCAGTAGAAATAGATTTTCCTTTCGTTTTTTTTTTTAATTAACCGTGTATAAATATAGGTGTTGTTGTATACAATTCAATGAGAGATGTATTTTTGCTATGCAAACCTTCACTACACTAGCAAAATTTGTAGGGCGCGTATGGAGCTAGCAATGCAGCCGATAGAACTCGCCATCAAAGGGAGGGCCAGGCGAATAAAAAAATTGACGACACGACGGCCTTCTACGACACTTAATCTACGTTTAATACTCGGCTTCTACGAAGAGGTAGAAGTATGGGGCTAAACAATCGCATAACATCTTGTCTAAGGGAGCACCTTGTTAAGAACGTATACGGTATTCATATGCACAGACCTTTCTGCTATGGAGATTGAATTCCTCGACGCCGAATTCTGGAGGCAAATTGGAAACGCCACTATACCGCAGAAAAACCGACGTGTTGATAATATCTACTGTCATGGATAGGATCTTCGTTGCTACTAGTAGAATATGACACTGCTTTGCCCAGAAACATATGCTGAGACTGAATAAATCCACGCAAAAGTCTACCGAGTGACCTAAGAACACACATCTACAATCGTGAGAGTGAATTCATCGACGCCGCTCTGTAGAATAAAATCGTATACGACACGACATGACTCCGCAGAATTTCGCCCGGTGTATACCATCGATGTGTGCTTCATTGCATACACCAGACAAACATTCTACGAAAAACAGCGCGCCCAGGGAATAAGGTGGCATACAAGCCCCAAATCGGGCTTCTACAGAGACAGACAAGTGCTTGTAGTGCATATTCGGTACAACGGAATAAAGTACCCAAATAACTAAACCGCCCCACCCTTAAGGTACATGCCCCCTCATTTCTGCTCCTTGCGTTTCGACGCTTCGCCCTTCGCCTGTTCCCGTTCCGCCTTCTTCGCCGCAGCGGTTCGTTGTTTCTCCTCTTCCGCCTTCTCCTGCGCCATGTGTTCCTTGTGGATCTCCTCCCACTCATCATCCCCAAACAGCGAAGTTGCCCACTCCTGGTCGCGAAGGCCCTTCTTGACTAACAGCCAGCCCACTCTGCGTTGCGCCAGGTCGTTGACGGTCCTCTTCTCCGTCGACGAACCGGTCTTCTGTTTCTTGATGGTCGGAGTCTCATGCAGCACAGCCAGGCCGTTGGTGAATTCCGTGAAGTTGCACACGAGTAAAACCTCGTCCAGCAGCTTAATGGCCGTTGCGGTCGCCGCCTCGGAGCTGTCTTTTCTTATCGTCTCCACGGAAACCATGACACGATGCACGCGACGCATCTTTCGCTCGCATGCACCCACAGCCATCCCGGGCGTACCTTTGACAGCGAACCGGGAATATGCGGTGATGAAGCTGGAATTCTTGTCCTTCTTCTTATACCGGTCGAACTCTGCAAAGACTTCGCGCAGTGACCGGCCGCCCATGATGAGGCTTGGCTGCACCCACACTTTCCAGGCAGCAGCTACAGTGGTGGCTTCGCGCCAAGACACAACGACCACGACGAAGAATTCTTGGATGGCAACTGGTGCTTTGGATGCGTCCGTTGCCTGGTTTCCTCCCTGTTCCCGCGCTCTTCGACGATCCGTCGATCTCTGCAGAGGTGTTTGCCGCGTCATCCCTGGCCGCAACACACCTCTTGTATGCTTCGAACTCTGCAATGACCCGAGCCTTGTCCTCTCGCTCAACGGCGAGTTTCTCCCTCAGTTCAGCGTTCTCCATCGCCAACTGCATTTCACGTCCTCTCAAAATCCCAAGCTCCTCCCTGAGCATATTGGCGGTGAGGTGCATCTTATGCAGCTTCTCTTCTGCGGTCGTGCGAAAGATAGCGTCCTGCAGAAACCAGCACGGCAGAACTCAGCATGAACGAATAACTCCTCTCTACCACTAATAGCAGGCACTTACTGCTTTGGCGGTGGTTTGGCCGGTTGCCCGAAGCTTCTCGCCCTGGAAGTGAGAGATAGCGACCAGGTACGCCCACTTTTGGAACAGCGGGTGGTTGCACAAGGGGCTCATCTGCACATATGGATGCCTCTCGCAATTGCACCGCGGGTTTCTCACGCCGTGCTGATGGCAGAACGCCCACATCATAGCCAGATCCTGTGCAACAACGAGGCGTCCGATGCTCGCGAGGGTGTCTAGGAACCTCGCCCCCGCATAGTGCCTCTTCAGCGGATCGGTCTGCGCAGCGTTCCATTCTTCGACCTGACGGGACGAGTATGCAGGAGAAATGGGACGGTTCATCATTGCGTATCAAAATTAAGCTACGAACGCGAAGACTGTACACTAGCACGTACCTTCTTCCAACCCTCTTCGACCCAGGGAAAATGTGAAGCCTCAAGAGATCCAAGAGCTGCAACCACTCATCCTTCTCCTTAACCTTATGCCGCGGAAGCTTGGCGCGGGCTCTGCCGATGTAGTAGTCTCCACGATCCCCGCTGAATCTTGCCAGCAGCCAAACCGGCTTGAACGGTATGCCGAACACATAACACCTCCGCAACTCCCCCTGCGCCCATCCGCCCAGAGTGCCGATATCGTTGTCGGAGCAACCGTCGTCATGGAGTTGTTGCGCTCCGGATCTGCGGAATGCATGTGTTACCTTGCTCAGAATCCATCTCGCCTTCGTCATGGCCCACTTAATCCAGGTGTTATGCGTTTTGTAGTGCATCTCGTCTTGCTTCTGCTTTCCCTGGTCGCCCTTCTTCAAAGAAAAGAAGAGGTGTGCTTTCGTCCACAAGATCGGTTCAGAAAAGTCGAGAGGCTCGACGATACCGGGGCCGTAGCGCAGAGGAACGAGGTCGTAGATGAAATAAAGCCACAGGAACACATGGCCCATTCCGCAGAGCCGCCAGTCCCTATGCCTTGCAAGAAACTGATGATTCAGCTTGTTGTTGGGGTTGGTCTTCGACTTCCTGGAAACAACGACGAGTACGAAAACGTCCAGATAGTCGTCGAGGCGTGATGTGCTCCGCGTCATGCGGACAAAGAGGTTCCCAAGTCGAATCTTTCGAATGCTGCACCCTCTTCCGAGAAATTGGTGTCCGAGGTGCATCATAACCGGGACTTGCAGAGCCTTCCAGAGAGGAAGCGAGATTTGTGACGGAGGCGTCCGCCACCAGATCTCTAGGAGCTCTTTTCGCAGAACAGTAAGATGCAGCGTCCTATACTGGCTTCCCGTATAACAATCACCAATTGATCCACGGGTTTGATCTCGACCATCCCTGCATAGAATAGCACAGTAATTAGGTAAACCATGTAGAACAACATTCACACAAACAGAAAGCACCCGTATACGTTACTCACGCGACTTGCTCGTCGTTCAGATCCTTCAGCTTCACTTTGAAAAAATCCCGAGCATCCTTGATCCAGTCCTTGGTCAGTGTGATGGAGAAGCCGTAGAGCCTCGCCTCGCACCTGGCAAGGCATCCCATTGCGTTCATCTTTGCCTTGATCATTGAAGCCGTGCACCCTTTGCCTCCTTCCCCACATATTTCTCGACGTCTGGCCGCATTTTTCCACGCAAAAACTTTGCCTGGTCGTCAGTTTCGCAGAAGAGATACTCGATGTATCGGCCGAGCCTCCATTCCGTGATTTGCGGCCCGTGCAGATGAATCTGCCACTCGTCAGAGCTGCACGACCACCCATCGTTTCCCAAGTTATTGCTCATATGAAACCCAACCTCGTCATGCAGAGAGGGAGCAAGGCTATCTGCCACAGGGACATCTACCATAGTTGCCATGAAGATTATCACCCATCACTTGAAGTGTAGAAAGTGGAAACAATAGTGCCTTCTCGTCCCGGCCTCTATCAGTCGAAGCGGGATTGTTGAACGCCGGATCCTGCTCTCCTTTTCCGCAACGTCGGTCTGCCGCTGCGCATTTCCGGGGACCCGCAGCCTGCTCGACATGGCTCGCAGAATCGGGAGGTCGTCGTCGTCCCGGCGATGATTCTCCCTCCTCTTCTGCGTCAGAGTGATCACCAGTCCTCCTCGTACCGTTCTTCGGGTGCACCGGGTCGTGGGCGCACTCCATCGCCGCCCGGCCTTCACTCTCTACTTCACTCCCCTGGACTTCAATCCGGACGGATGGTTCGTAGAGACCACCCTGAAACGAATCCTGAAACAAATCCTCCTCGGTCGCCTCAAACTCGCTATCGTTCTTGCGATCCTGTGCGTAGTCTTGGTCAGTATTTTCAACGTCCTCCAAGTCTTCTTCTCCATCCTCTGCGCCCTGGGCTGGCCATGGGGCTGAGAGTGGACCGAGCTGTCGGCCATTCACAGATTCCTAATTTATTAGCTAGCAACCGAGACTAGACGAAAAGAATCGGATGGTGTCAGCCGCGGTAGGGTGTAAACGATTCGCAATGGTGCAGATAACATAGGCAGAATGCTTAGTGGGCTAAGCGCAGAAGGCGTAGAGAGTCTGTGCTTCAGACGTCTACACATTGGTCTTCGAACACGCGCCTACAACTTGCGTTTACATATATATCTGCGCCTACAACTTGCGTATACAGGGTCGCTTGACTGTCCCGTACCGTATAGCTCTGTCACACTTTGTTTTACCGCTTTAATTCTCTACAACGAAACAACGAAAATAAGTTTCCTACCATTATACGGATATATCATCTACGGAACCCTTATGCTTGTACATAACTTTCGTGGGTTCGACGGATATTATGGATTGGAGCGAATACCTTTACCGATAGAAGAAGCCTAACGTCGAAGATGTCCGCCCTACAAGAGCGGACGACCTATGACAATTGTTCCGGCAAATACAACAGTTCTACGACAAAATATTATACCACACACATCTGCGCCTACATAGCGACCTAAACAAGTACGACTGCAGTTATCCTAACCGGGCTGGACCCCAAAAAAAAAACCTACTCTATACGACCTACGTCACTATTCGAGGATCGCCAATGTTATGCCAGTAAGCCAAGCAGGCTTAAAAGATTTACGCTGGTGGACTAACAGGTGCTGGAAGAAAGATCTCAAAGAGCTGCGGAACATGAAATGCAAATGAAAAGGAGCAAATGAGCACGAAAACATCACATTCATACCCATCCACCACACACAGAAGCCCGTATCCAGATCTGGTCTCCAACCCTGGGCTGGATGATTCTCCCGCCAAAAAACAACAGTTGGGATATGGTCCTACTAACGCTGATTGGCTCTTGTAGCCTTGGGACTGTTGCCATGGGCCAGTGTGCAGAACACCTAAGTTGGTAAACAATGACTATAAAACACAATAGCAAAACGTAGGATGCTACACTTTAACTCATGTTATTTATAAAACACATAACATCAAAAGGTATAAAGGAACACACGTGCTGCAGCTTTAAGGTGGCAGCAAAAAAAACACCGAGTTTAAAGCATATAACGATGCAAGGAAGACCAGTTGGTCGCAAACCGGCCATGCGACCGGCGGTCGTCACTTGTCGGCCAGAGAGTTACGATGGCGAAACATGTCATTCGCTACAAACATCACTGGCACAAAGGGTCAGGGCAGGTTGGTTGGAACACATTTTTCACGGTCAGGTGGGGCGCGGAATTGTTGGCGGCTGGCCGTGTCGTATGCGGCGGGCCTTGCGCCCAAGCCCTTCCGGAATCCGGAACACACGGATCCAAGGCCTCGGATCATGGGGGCAAACGCACTCGGAACTCCGCCACAACGTGGTAAGAGTCCCAATCCCATGCCACCCAAAATTCCGACTCCACATTTTGCCGCTATCAGAATTCGTTCATTCATCGTAGGTTTTTCGCCCGACGCAGCTCGTCGCCGATCGTGGTTTTTTCGCCGCGTTCAGCCCATCGCTATCAGGCAAAGGAACCGCCACGTCGCGTGAACCCCTACGAGCGGGCGCGATGATCATACGGGTGACGTGCGAGTCGGAGGGGGGCGCGCAGTGCCCGCAATGGGCGCTCGTGGAGCTGCAGGGCGAGCTGCGCTCCGACCTGCCCGCGCTCGCCTCCGCGCTTCCCGCCTCCGCGTTGCGCGGGAAACGACGGGGGAAACGGTCTCGAGAAAATCCGTGCTTGGCACCGCGGAGGGGCGCGGCGCGGGTGACTGTGACGCGGGGCGCGCTTGGGCGGAGGGGTGCACTCCAATTGGCGCGGCTGACGTGCCCGCGCCAGGTGGGAAGGGGAGGGAAGCGCGTGAGGTAGAGAAACGGGTGGATGGGCGCGGAGGGGGAAGCAAGGGTGGCGGATTTGGAAGATGTGACAGGGTGTGGTGTGCTGTTGTTTGGTGGCATGATATGGCGTGGTATGGGGCGATTCGAGGTGATGTGCCGTGTGGTGGGCGCTGGAGTACGGCTTTCTTGTTCGTGGCGGGACGGGTAGCATAAGAGGGTGTGGGCAAGGCATGCCACCTTCCCCTCTCACTGCACTGCCTGTCTTGCATGCATGCCCGTGTGCCTGTGTCCGCCTGTGCATGTGTGCGCGGCACAGGGCGCAGTGCGGCTAACGGTGGGGCACCACACAGCTGGAGGGCGCCATGCAGCGCTGCCCAGACGTTCGTGCTGCTGCGCAAGACAGCTCTGCCGCTGCCACGAGGGGGGCAGAGAGACGCGGCAGCAGCAGAGCAGAGGGAGGGGCGAGGGGCACGCGTGTTGGGGCAGAAGGCATGGATGTGGAGGGTTGGGAGGCAGGAGAGCGGGGGTGGTGAGGGCGCAGTGGGGCAGGGGGCTGGGGAGTGGCAGGGGAGGGGGAGGCGGGGGTGGGGTACAGAGTGGCGGGGGTGATTCGCTGCAAGCTCATCTTCAAGACTCGCCCCAAGCTCGTTCTCTCAGCCGCTCGATAAGGCAAAGTGGGTGGGGGCAGCAGGAAGTATACAGGCCTAGAGGGGCACGTGCAAGCCCAAGGCCGGCTGCCATTCAGCCAAGCCAGTAGCATTATTAAATACCGCATGGCTCCCTGGATACACTTTCCAAGCTCATAGTAATAGTTATGGTACGTGCGAACCACTACAGGTGTCTGTAACGATGTACGCATTGATTCGCCCTCAAACGAGGGGACAACACGGTGTGTGGTGGGTTGCGACGGCGCGGTCCGCCTCGATGGTGACAGATAAGGGATGGGTGTTGTGGTGCAGCGAGGTGCAATGAGCACGAGATGGGTGGGGCTATGCAGGCCGTGCTTTGAGAGATACTCCTTGGCCTCCACTATGTCCTGCATGCACATGCACAGATACACCACTCAAGGCAGCACACATGCATTCCATGCCACCACACACTTCACCATGCACACGTGTCAGGGAGGTGAGGCACCCATGCAGGCATGTGGGAAGCATTCAGACGCAAGCAGCAACAGTCAGCACTGCCGACCACGCCTCTATGTGCCACACACTCCTTCCCCTGCCACTTTGTGCCATCCGCTCATGCCCCTGTCATCGCATGCACTACCAGTCTTGCTACATGACGGCCCCCACTACAATCACACTCTGCGCCACACAACGATCCTTCGCTACACTGACACCCGCTCGTCACCTGGCGCAGCAGCGCGCCCTCGTGCTGGCAGGTGGGGAAGCGCATAAGCCCGTACCCCAGCGCACCCACCGCATAGCACCCTAGCGACACAAACGCGTACATACCGGCAGCTGCACCACTCGCGAGCACCCAGGGGATGCGAATGCGAAGGAGGAAGAGGGGCGGGGTGGTGGGGTGGGAGAGGAGTGGTTGGCGGAATGAGAAGACTGGTGGGATTGAGGGGAGAGAATGGGAAACACAGTGAGCGGCGCGTGTGACTAGAAGAGCAGAGGCATGTGGCGTGGTGGCGGCGGGGATGCGGGAATGCGGGGATGCGGGGAGGCGGGGTGGCGCCGTACTATGAGAATGACTTGGTTGACGGCGGGCGGGAACTGCTGCGCCAGGAGCAGCGCCCACAGGCCCCCCAGCGACACCGCCACCGCCACGATCTCCTGAAACGTGCCGCCCGTCTTCATGCTGCGCGCCGATGCGTGCTCCCCCTGGTGAAAGAGGACGCAGCCCGCGAGGAGACGTGGCCGAACGAGGCGGCAGATGGAAATAGCACAAAACGCTGAAAATCCGGTTCCCAGCAGTCCCAGATCCGCAGGAGCACGAGAAAGTGACGCGATGGGACACGCACTCGGACCGTCGCCTAAAGGTTGCCTGCTGTGGTGGTGCTTATGCTTGGAAGAGTCACCAGACAGAATTGACGAGCAACTGTGGTAGTTACCGCGACACGATAACATGACACATACGCCAGCATGGTTCGCTATGAGCAAGCCCAAAATCGAGACCTTGCTTGACGGCTGTATACACGAATACTGCTAAACTGAAACTCTAGATAATAATACAAGGGTAAAGTGGGCTCCACATGAAAAGTGGGTAAATTAATCGTACCACCTCAATATCTAGCATAAGAGGATTGGTTATGTCTGCAGAGAACTGTTTGTTTAAAAACTGTGAAAATATGTTTGGCCACCATTAGTAATGACAAGACAAACAATATTGTTTTTTCAAGTTTATTTATCGTAATTAACCATTAAAATTGTTAATGTATAGCTAAATGGCAAATGATAAACAACATGGTATAGTAGCTGTAAGGAATTTCGCTAATTCCTGTCAGAATGAGGAATGAGTGTTGCATTGATGTTGGTTGGGGTACATATGACAAACCCTAACTTCTGTACCCCCTAAGACAAACCTCACTACAGGCTACAACATTTGACACACCCCCATAGCCTAAGTGAGGGGTGTCTAGCAAAAACAAAAAGAGTACGGTCACAAGACCAGTCCAAAAGAAAACAAAGCTCAGGGTGGATCACAACGTCACCACACACTCTGAGCACAATCAACAGTGGCCACAAGGCCAGTCCAAGAGATCACAAGTATATATAGTAAATGTACAGACGAAGCAGGCAATAAACTCAAGTCTACGCATGACTAGAACCTGTGTCAACAAGGCCTAACTGCACACAACACCTCTGGTGGTCACAAGGCGAAGCGCCTTGGTGAAGATGTCTGCAGTGTTGGCCTCGGACTCTACGAACTCGAAGCGAGCCTGTCCACAGCCTCTGCAACTCTCGCAGAAGAAAGTACCTGATGTGAATGTGCTTCACTCTGCTCTCCAGTCGCGGCTCACGACAGAGGAGGATCGACGCCTTGTTGTCAGTAAACAAGGTCGGTGCAGAGCTCGGCCGCTCACCAAGGGTCAGTGAGCAAGGAAGGTCAACCACCGCAACTCCTGTGCCGCCATGGCACCAGCGTAAATCTCAGCCTCAGCTGTAGAGGTCGAGACAGAAGAGGAGCGCGTGGAACGCCAGGAAACAGCTCCAGAACCCAGACTGAAACAGTACCCCTGAGTAGACCTGTGAGTCTCAGCGTCGTCAGCGTAAGAGGAGTCACAGTGACCAGTGAGTACGACAGACTGCTGCCCTCCAAGAACTAGCCCCACGCCTGATGTAGTCGCTAGGTACTTCGCCACCCTCACAGCTGCCGTCCAGTGAACAGGACGGTGTCTCCCTGGCGCAACAAAGCGCGCAAGGATGCTGAGAGGGAAGGCGAGGTCCGGGCGAGTACAAGTCATCAGGTACATGAGGCAACCCACAAGCTCTGCGTAGGGACCACTAGGCTCAAACGGCTCGTCAGGAAAGGGACCAGTGAGTCTGTGGTCAACAGCTAGAGGTGTGCGCTGTACGGTGGAGTGCTGAAGCCCGAACCGCTGAAGGACCTGCTGCACCATGTGTGACTGTGAGAGTGTAATGGTGCGAGCGGCTCTGTCCCTGGTGATCTGCAGGCCAAGGTAGTGGCGCAGCTCACCAAGATCAGTGCACGTGTGTCTCTTCTGCAGTTCGGACTTCACGTCTGCCAAAGCAACCCTGTCCGGAGTGGCGAAAACGAGGTCGTCGACGTAAACCAGAACAAAGAACGGCTGGAACCCAAGGTCAGAGAGGGTAGAACGCAGAGTGTCGTGCCACTCACGAGGGGCCTGGCGAAGACCGTAAACAGGTCGCCTCAGCCTCCACTGGGTCCCAGGAGGGAAGGTGCCAGTGAAGGCCAAGGGACGACGCAACCAGACCTCCTCGTGTAGGCTGCCCTGAAGGAAAGCAGTGGAGAAGTCAAGAGAGTGTAACTCGTAGTCTCTCTGTGCTGCTACGTGTAGTAACACCCGAAGAGTGGTCATCTTCGGGGTAGGTGCGAAGGTCTGAAAGAAGTCAACTCCCTCGCGCTGACTGAAACCTCTAGCCACGTAGCGCGCCTTGAAGACCGGGGGAGATCCCGGTGGCCGCTTCACCCTGTAGATCCACATGCCGTCGACTACGTTCGCCCCCGGGGGGGAACCTCATCGACGTAGGTGCCTGTGGATCTGTAGGAGGCCATCTCTGCGTCCATGGCAGCTCTCCACTGAGAGGCCCAAGGCCCTGACACTGCCTCAGCGTAAGTGCGAGGAGTCGGAATGTCAAGGGCGTCGGGGTCACCCTCAGGGGCGAGGAGCATGGCACAGAGATGAGGGGAAGCGGCCGCCAGGAACTCTAGCTCAAACTGCCTGTCCTCTAGGGCGTCACGGCCAAGGGCAGACACACCCCCGACGGCCAGAGGACTGGTAGGAGGAGCAGCCACAAGCGTGGTGGCGTAGTCAAGGCGGCGGGTAGAGGCAAAGTCAGTAACTTGCGGCAGTAAAGAGCGGACACAGAGGACACAGAGGCACGAGGTGAGTAACAAGAGAGGCGAGAACACGAGAGAGAACAGGACGGTACGTGCGGTAGTAGTCAGTGACAGGAGTAGGGAGCGACACAGTGAGGGCCGACTCAGGAGGAGACGGAAGCACAGACTGAGACGGACGAGGTGGACTAGAAGAAGGAAGGCAGTACTAACACCAGCTCCAGACCCAGGCTCACCTGAACCCAAAGGAGGCGCACCCTCACCCCCAGACGCAGCACCCCCAGTGTCCGCGCGGCCAGCACCAGCTCCCGGACGACAAGCGTCCTCTGCACCCACCTGGTCAGCTCCAACTCCAGAACCAGAAACTCCAGCTCCAACCCCAGCTCCAACTCCAGCACCCCCAGAACCAGAAACTCCAGTGCCAACTCCAGCTCCAACTCCAGCTCCAACTCCAGCTCTAACTCCAGCACCCCCAGAACCAGAAACCGGTACAGGAACAGGCGTCGCACCAACCTCTCGAGAGCTAGCACCAGCGGCACGCTGCGAGGAGGACTGTGGGGAGGGAGGCTGTACCGGAGGGGCTACCGAAGGAGGAGGGGTAGCCTGGGACACACCTGACGGGGCTGGACCAGGGGGGGGAGGCTGTAACCGGGGGAGCAGGAGGGGGAACGGCAGTCAGGAAGAGGGGGGGAGGAGGAACCGGGAGACCTCGACTGGGGTACCTGACGTAGTACGGAGTGGGACTCCTCGAAACGGACGTCACGGGAGTCAAAGAACCGGTGAGAGGGAGGGTGGTAAAAGGTGAAGTCAGAGGAGTCCTCAGGGAAACCAAGGAAGACACAGGGGACGGCACGAGGCGAGAGCTTGTCCGCGGAGGTGTCGCGGACAAGAGCCAAGCACCCCCAGACACGAAACCGCGACGCAACACCAGGGAACCCTGTCCAAAGACTGGTCGTTGAAACCTCTGGTCGAGGAGACACGTGGCCAGAGGTTCAGCTGGTGCGCGGCGTACCTGACCGCGTAGGGCCACAGAAAATGGGGGGCACAGGCGTGAGTCAGGGAGGTGCGGGCGATCTCCATGACCAGGCCTATGCGGCGCTCAGCAACCCCATTCTGCTGTGGGGACTCTGGAAGCGTCCAGGACTGACGAATGCCCTGCTCGCGACAGAATCCAGCGAGAATGCCGGAGCGAAACTCACCCCACGGTCGGAGTGGAGACAGCTGACACGACGACCACGAGTGTCCTCGGTGGTGAGCAACCACCTGATCAGCGTAGAAGTCACCTCAGACTTCTTCGCCAGAGGGAAACACTGTGGTGTAGCGGGAGAAGTCGTCAACGACCACCAGAAAGTAACGCTCACTGCTCAGGGGCCTAGACGAGGGCTGGGCCCCAGACGTCCAAGTGAAGCGTCTCAAAAGGCTCGGTGGCCGGACGAAGGGAGGAGGAGTGAGGGGTGGCGCGCAGCCTACCCTCGACGCAGGGACGACACGGCGGCGCAGGCGAAGGCGGCAGCGACGGCAAGACACGTGGGAGGCCTAGGACAAGACGCTGACTAGACATAGCGCGCAGACGTGGAAGGGACGGGTGCCCCATCCGGTGGTGCCACAGAACGGTGGGGTGGGCAAGCGACCGGCAGGAGCACGACGCAGCGACTGGAACAGACGGAGGAACCTGACACGAGGCAGACACCTGGGGGGACGTAGCAACCTGGTGAGACGCGGGGGACCCGAACGGGGGGGGGAACCGGGGGCAGTGGCAGTAGGGGGGGCTGCTGGTGGCGGCCGCTGGTGCTGCTGCTGCTGCTGCTGCTTGCGGCTGCGGCTGCTGCTGCTGCTGCGGCTGCTGCTGCGGCGCACGCGGGCCAGTGTGAAGAGTGTAGAGACCCGAGCCCGGCTCAGCATTAAAGGTAGCAAGAGGCTGGTAAGAGTCTCCGTCAACACACACCGCAGTCTCTCCAGAAGGCTCAAACCACACACCCACGTGCTGGCTCACGAGGGGTCGCACGCCCACCAAGTTCCGGAGAACGAGGGGGACGTGAAACCCAGTGAGAGACCGGAGGGAGCAGCAGGACACGGTAAAGTGGTAGTGTGACGTGCAGTGACTGGTCCCGTAGTGGGATCAGCCAACGCTACAGAAACAGGCGCAGGAAGTGGTGTAAGTGTCGTGCTGTCCCGAAAGAAGCAGTGGGAGGCTCCAGAGTCCAGTGTGAACGACAGCGAAGCGTCCTCTGAGGTAGTCGCTGTCTAGAGTCTACACAAGTACCTACACTAGCAACAGGCAACTCAGCAAGACTAGCACCTAAGCTAACAACACCAGAGTAAACAGAGTCAGAAACACTAGAGTCAACAACAGCATACATAGCATGAGGAGCACTAATCAGATCAACTAACTGCTCAGCAGACATGCCCCACAGAGCGGAGCCGTAGCGCTGAACCAGAGGAAGCCAGTCAGGAGCAGGACCGCCAACCCCGTAGGTCAACCGGACCGTGTCAGTGAGCTGAGCAAAGCACTGACCAGGGGGGTGAAAGCGGCCACAAGGGTGGCCCCGACGAGGACCTGTCTGAACCTGGTAGGGGCAGGGAGGGTAAGCAGCACCGCGCTGGGGCTGACGCAGCCCCGACCCCGGAGCCAGCTGCTGACGCTGCTGCTGCTGAGGCTGCTGGGAGGAAAGGGGCTGCTGCTGCTGCTGAAGGTGCTGCTGACGCTGAGCCTGGTACCACGCCGCTGCTCCACCTAGCGGGGCCGACAGTACAGGAGGCGACTGACGAGCTCGAGGGTCGCTGCCACCAGCAGGTGCAGTGGAGTCACCGGCCGCTGCACGAGGGGTCCTCTCCAGACGCTGCACTCCCACCACCGCCAGTCGCAACAGCACCCCCACTACCTCCGCTACCTCCGCCTCCACCTCCACCGGAACCACCTTTCTTGCCCCCCCTGCCGCGGGACCGCGACGCAGTCGTAACAGCAGCCGCAGTCGCGTCAGTAGCGGCAGTGGCAAGAGAGGCAGTGAAGGTGGGTAACTGCGGGACTGTGCACCCGTGGAAGAGTGGGGGGGATACAGTACCAGAGGCGGCAGCTACCGAACGAAGGTTGCTCTCGACATCCTTGAGTGCAGACTCAAGGACCTCGATAGTCAGCTCACTAGGGTGCTTCAGCAGAAGCGCGTCACGAACGGAGGCAAGGCGGTCAGGGAGGCTAGTGGCGATGAAATAGACAGTAATCGCCATGGGGGGAGGAAGCAGTGCAAGCTGTGCCTCAGTGCAAGCAGCGCGGTAACTAGCGTCAAGCGAGCGGAGGTGAGCGATCAAGTCAGCAGAGCGCTCAAACGAGGCAAGATCAGGAAACAGGAACGGGAGGAAAAGACGGCCGAGAGAGACAGTAGCGGGAGTAGAGTAGGCGGGCCTTAATCGCAGTGAGGTACGCAGCAGCGGTGCGAACCTGAGTAAAGTGGACCTCCTCGGACTCAGGGAGGAGGCTGCTGAGTGCGATGCAGGCCGCAGCGTCACGCGACGTCCAAGCCGTCCGGTCAGCGCGCTGACGGGCAAAGCGAGCCGTAGCAGCATCGTCAGGAGCAGGGCCTAAAGCTGTAGGCTCGGGGGGCTCGGGGAGGTCACCAGTAGCGTGTGACCAGAGGGTCTCGCCCCCCTGGACCTGACTCTCTAACAGACGACGAGCGCGAAGAAGCCAGACGGAAAAGTCAAGGGGTCTACCGTCGGCGTCGAAACGAAGAACTCGCGGAGTCGCCATAGTGGAGAACGAACAGGCGAGTAACAACCGGGGGGGGAAGAGGACTCAGTCGCAGCGGAAGAGTGGGCTAGGACGACGGGCCAAGACGTAGGGGTAGGGCAACGGGCCAGGGCCTAGGGTAGGGCGACGGGCCAGGGCCTAGGAAGGGCGACAGGCCAGGGCCTAGGGAGGGCGACGCGACGGGGGAAAGTTCAGGGCGACGCGACGGGGCAGGGCGACGCGACGGGACAGGGCGACGCGACGGGGCAGGGCGGCGCGACGGAGCAGGGCGACGGGACAGGGCAGGGCGACGCGACGGGGTAGGGCGACGCGACGGGACAGGGCGACGGGACAGGCAGGGCGACGGACGGGACAGGGCAGGGCGACGCGACGGGACAGGGCGACGCGACGGGACAGGGCGACGGGACAGGGCGACGGGACAGGGCGACGCGACGGGACAGGGCGACGGGACGGGGGGGGGTAACAGGCAGGCGCGACGCGACGGGGGGAACGGGCGCGACGCGACGGGGGGGAACGGGCGCGACGCGACAGGGGGAACGGGCGCGACGCGACGGGGGGAACGGGCGCGACGCGACGGGGGGAACGGGCGCGACGTGACAGGGGGAACGGGCGTGACGCGACGGGGGGGGAACAGGCGTGACGCGACGGGGGAGATGACGCTAGGCTCGGTACTAGGCGCGGTAACTACGAAACTGGTACGAACGAGAGGTAGGATCAGGCTCGGGAGGTACGAACGGAGAACGGAGGAACGGGATCCCACAGGATCCTAACCTAGCTGATACCATGTCAGAATGAGGAATGAGTGTTGCATTGATGTTGGTTGGGGTACATATGACAAACCCTAACTTCTGTACCCCCTAAGACAAACCTCACTACAGGCTACAACATTTGACAATTCCTTACTGAGGCATCTCTTACGCGTACAATTCCAATTTTCGGAATTCATGTTCGGTCCGACGACCTCGCATTCCGAACGTCTCCCGCGTCGCCTTCGGGTTTCCCAACCCCAAACCTGCACCCAACCTTCGCGCGACTCCGCGACCTCGGCCTAGCTAGCTGTGCTATATTATGCCTAGGCCTCGTTGTTTGCTCAGTACCGTATCGCCCCGGATATAGGCGCCGTCCGATTAAAGGCGCCGGCGCTTCTATCTGGAGCATGGCGCTTATGGCCGGAATTCGATTATAAGCGCCCCCCCTGAAAATGCTTTACTTATTATAAGCGCACGCCTAAATTTATTTTTCATTCCTGATTAAAACGGTAACGAACTTCATATTTCTAGCGAGTCACATCACATTTCACTTTGTTTGACTTTCGCGGACCTCACTGGTTGCGCGTCCAGTCAGTATGAGCTGGCACGCGGGCAAAATGACGCGCCAAAGCTCAGTGCACCGTCAGAAATTCGCCCTCGCGCGATTCTGATTCTGGACGCTGTAAAGTTTTAATTCGGTTTAACTTACGAGACTGAACTGTACATGTTGGTGCGTTTGAATTGTATTTCTGTATTTGTCTTTATATAAGCGCCGGCGCTTATGGCCATTATTCAATTACAAGCGCCACCCTTAAAAAAAATCGATTTTATTATAAGCGCCATGGCGCTTATATCCGGGGTGATACGGTAGTTGTAATCACTTCCGCATTAGTGAGTTCTGCGCACTCTTTCCTTTCACAACTTATAACACTTGGTATCAGAGCTACTTTCCTAGGTTACCCTTCACTTTCCGAGGTAGTTTAGTGAAGGGGTGCGATAGGTTTGGTGGGCTGCAAAGCGGTCGGCTGAGAGATAGATATGATTATCTCGCTCCGACTAATAGCGTTTGCGCCTTCATCAAACCATAAAAATCGTTGTTAACCCGCTGCCCGCTATGATGAGTCTCCGAAACATGACGCAAGCAGAGTTTGACGTGTTTTCGCAGGACTTTCGGGCGATGCAATCCAACATGCAAACTAGGTCTGGCGAGTTGGATCGCCTGAGGGTGGAAAACGCCGAACTACGCCAGACGCGAGGTGAAGCGCATCAGGAGTCACCCGCCGTGGATAAAGTAAGTAGCAGCGACGCGCCTAACGTCGAGGTCCTTAGCGAGCTACAGAACTCGCTGGACGCTGAAGATGGGTGGACGGCACAGATGCAACAAGCACTAGGGACGCAGGAGCAACAGTCACAGCCGCAGCAACAGACACGAGCGGCGCGGAGGCAACAGTCGCAGACTACGCCACGTCAGGCAACAGCGACAGCCCCGGTGATGACTTCGATGGCGCCCCGATACATGCATCAGCAACAGTCTCAACAACTGTTAAAATAAAGCCGACAAACCCGTCCCCGTTCAACCCCAGCGACAAAACCGTCACTGTGTCGGCATGGTTGTTCAGTATGGAGGTGTTTTTTAATGCTGCGCAAATTACTGACGATGCTACCCGCATTAATTTTGCAGTGTCACTGTTACGAGGACCGGCGTTGGAGTGGTGGAAGCGGACTTTTCAGACAGGGGGGACTCCGGCAGGAATGTCACGTGCGAACGACGGGACCTGGACAACTGTCACGAAACAGGCAACTTCAATCTTCGGAGTGGCCACGATACGCACATGGACGGAGTGGGGCGCCGCGCTGCGAACCAGATTCGAGCATGTATCCGCCTCGGATTCTGCTCGCATGAAGCTGCGCACCTGGAAGCAGGTGGCGCCGGTCCAAGATTACACGACAACATTCTGCAATTTGGCTGACCAAGTGGACGATATGAGCGACGCGGAGCGACTTGTCCGATATGTCGCAGGCCTCAAGTACGAAGTACAGTACGAGGTGCGACGGGCGAGGCCACGCGGTTTTCTCGATGCCGTCCAGGTGGCTGAATCAACGGATGCGCTGATGCAATGGGCGAGAATGACTTCCCGGGAGGGCACTCAATTTCGTGGACCGCCGCGCCAGCCCACAATCAACGTGGTGGATGCACCAAGACGTGGACCTAACACGTGCTTCGACTGCAACCAACCGGGCCACAGGAGGAAGGACTGCCCGAATCTGAAACAGGGAAACAGGAACGTCGGAGAGGGGTCGGGAAAAGAGACGAGTCAGTAGCAGTCGGGCCACCTACTGACGAGACCCCCGTCGCCCGGCAATCAACATCCACACCGAGTAGTGGTACCGATACGGGCTATCGACCGCAACCGGACGAATAAGGTGGATGAACACGTGGATCACCCTGTGCTGGTCGTGGGGAGGGTTAACGGCTATAAAATAAAATTATTCGTTGACGGTGGGGCGAGCCACAGTCTCGTCAACCTGGCAACGGCCAAAAAAATAGGGGTCAAGCTGGACAGGTGTCTACCCGAGATTGACGCGCGACTGGTGGACGGGACACCGCTGGCGATAAAAGACGAGGTCCGACAAATTCGGATGAAGTGTGGCGACGATTTCGGGTTTTCAATGCGAATGCTGGCGACAAACACTGGACAGTTGCGATGTGCTGCTGGGACGCGATTGGCTACAGCGTTTCAATCCGACAATTGACTGGACGACGGGGGCGATCACGGTGCTGTGCAACAAGGGGCGAGTGACACTTCCGAAATGGGCGGAGCCGGAGCTGATGACAACACGTCTCAACGCAATAACGATGAAGAGGGCGATAAAACGGGGAGTGCAAGGCTACGCCGTACAGCTGTACGAGGTGGTGGCTTCCGAAAAAATCGCCGACATCGACACGCTCTGCGCTGCTGTACCCAACGACTTGGCGAGCATAATTCGGAGGTATCCCGAAATCTTCGCGGATCACCTGCCTGACCGGCTGCCACCTCAGCGTCCGAAGGACCACAGGATCAAGCTGGAGCCAGGCGCAAAACCCACTTTTCGGTCACAATGGTGGCTCAGCCAACCGGAGCTCTACGAGTTGCGGAAACAGCTAGTTATCTGCTTTCGAAGGGTTTTATTCGGCCGAGCATGTCACCATACGCCGCCCCGATACTGTTCACACCGAAAAAGGACGGAGGCCTGCGCATGTGCATCGACTATCGAGCGTTGAACCGGGTCACGATCAAGTCACGCTACCCGATCCCACGAGCGGACGACCTGCTGGATCAGCTTCGTGGGGCTCGCTTCTTCTCGAAAATCGATTTGCGAGGTGGCTACCACCAAATTCGCGTGTTCGCCGACGACTGCCCAAAGACTGTGTTTCGCACCCGCTACGGCAGTTACGAGTACACTGTGATGCCGTTCGGGTTGACGAACGCGCCCTCGACTTTCCAGCTTACTATGAATGGGGTGTTTCGAGACATGCTGGACAAAAAAGTTATCGTTTATCTGGACGACATCCCGGTGTACAGCAAGACTCGGGAGCAGCATTTACAAGACTTAGAGGAAGTGTTCCGGCGCTTGCAGCAGAACTGGTTGATTACTAAGGGCTCTAAGTGTGAGTTCTTACAGCCGGAGCTGAAGTTCCTGGGGCACGTGGTTTCAGGGGAGGGCATTAAAATTGACCCTCGCAAAGTAGCGGCGATTTCGGAGTGGAAGCCGCCCACGAACATCACGGAGTTGCAGAGTTTCCTCGGCTTCGTTAACTACGTCCGCCGTTTTGTAATATGGCGGGGGTAACTAGGCCGTTAACCGATCTTCTGCATAAGGGCGTCCAATTTTGTTGGGGAGAGAGAGAACAGCTGGCCTTCAACGAGCTGAAGAAAATTTTGAGTTCACCCCCGGTGCTTCGGCTGGCAGATCCATCTCGACCGTTTGAAGTCGTGACGGACGCCCGCGATTTCGCCGTGAGCGCTCTGTTATTACAGGACTTCGGCAACGGGCTGCAACCCATCGCGTACGAGTCAAGAAAAATGCAGCCGCCCGAGCGCAACTATCCGGTCCACGACAAGGAAATGCTCGCCATTGTGCATGCATTTCGTACCTGGCGCTGTTACCTCACGGGAGCTGACGTCACCGTCCGAACCGACCACAAGTCATTACAGTACATGCGCAGCCAACCACAGCTCAACCTGCGACAAATCCGGTGGCTCGATTACCTCGAGTCCAATTTCAGCTACACCATCATGTACAAAAAGGGCGCCAACAACATCGCCGACGCCCTGACCCGACCTTCAATGCAGACCGCAGCAGTACTAATCGCCCATTCTAACCCCTTATTGACAGGATTATTCAAGCATGGCTACATGATTGACCGGTTTTTCACGACAAATCAACACCATGGGGTCACCACGGCGCATGGGAGCTACTACCTAAAAATCGGTACTAACCGAGTTTGGGTACCTTCCTACCGACCCTTACGAGAATTGCTGACGCAGGAAGTACACGACTCCAACCTTTCCGGGCATTTCGGCGTCGACAAAACGTTGAAGCTGCTGCAACGGAACTATTACTAGCCTGGTATGGCGTCAGACGTGCAGCACTACGTGTCCGCCTGCCCGACCTGCCAAGCAATGAAGTCATCACGCCAACACCCAGTGTCAGATTTATATGACTTAGCCTATGTAGGCTATAGTGGGGTAGCACATATGGGGTACAATATTTCTAGGGTTTGTACTTGTACCCAACCTCCCACTAGTCAACCATTCCTCGTTTCTCCACATGGTATAAAGCAGGTTCCCTAGTGGGAACGCTTCCTAGGGCACACCACGATTTTTTTTCCCTGCCCGGAGCGCGCTTCGCTCCTGCCCAAGCGCGCCCTGTGTGCCCTCCCTACCATCGCGTCCCTAGCCCTTAGCGGACCGTCGCGCCCTCTCACAGCCCCTCACGGCCCCTTCGCGCCGCCCTTAGCGGCCCCTCTCGCGGCCCTTCGCGGCCCCTTATGGCCCCTCGCGCCGCTCTTCGCGGCCCCTTACGGCCCCTCGCGCCGCCCTTCGCGGCCCCTTACGGCCCCTTGCGCCGCTCTTACGGCCCCTTCCGGCCCCTCGCGCCGCCCTTCGCGGCCCCTCGCGGCCCCTTCGCGGCCCGTCGCCGCCCTTCAAGGGCCCGTCGCCGCCCTTCGCGTCCCCTCCACGCCCCGTCGCTGCCCTCCGCGGCCCCGTCGCCGCCCTTCGCGGCCTCTCGCCGCCCCGTCTCGGCCCCGTCGCCGCCCTTTGCGACCCCTCACGGCCCCGTCTCGGCCCCGTCGCCGACCTTCACGGCCCCATAGCCGCCCTTCGCGACCCACCGTCGCCGCCCCTACATCAGCTGCTGCCACCGCCCATGCAGCGGAAGCCGCCACCGCCGGAGCCGCCGACAGCAGCGGCCGCCGCCGTCATTCCCGGGGCAGCAGCCGCAGCCGTCACCAGCAGCAGCCGCCGCCACCTCAGCCGGGGCCGCAGCCGCCGCAGCAGCCGCCGCCGTCACCAGCAGCAGCCGCCGCCACCTCAGCCGGGGCCGGAGCCGTCGCCGCCGCTGACTGCAGCCGCCGGTGCACCTCGGCCCTGCCGGCGCGCCTCGGCCCGTCCCTGCCGGCGCGCCTCGGCCCGCCCCTACCGGCGCGCCTCGGCCGTGCCTGCGCACCTCGGCCCGTCCCTGCCGGCGCGCCTCGGCCCTGCCCCACCGCTTGCGGCCCTCTCCTCTGGTAAGAACATCGCCGCACTACTGCTCCTGCTGCCACTGCTACTACTGCTGTCACTGCTGCTACTACTGCTGCTACTGCTGTCATGGCTACCCCTAGCGTCCTCGTCTTTGATGCTGAGGGTCGGGCTGTTGACTTTGAGGTCTGGGTCGATGATCTGCAGCTTTTCCTACAGTGCGATAGGAAAGACGGTCTCTTACTGTTCGATCTCACGTTTGGCGCCTCTCCTGCCCCTGCTTCTGATGCTGACAGCACTGTTCGCTCACTGTGGGCCACACGCGATGCTGCTGCCCGTCTTGCTGTGCGTAGTCACTTGCCGTCCACTGAGCGCGCGCACTTTAGTCAGTATAAGAGTGCTAAGACCTTGTACGACGCTGTCATTGCACGCTACTCTTCCCCTGCCATTGCTGCCCTTAGCCGCCTCATGCTGCCGTACCTGTTCCCTGACCTAGCCGCCTCACAGTCGCTGACCTCATTACGCACCTTCGCACTAGTGACACCCGCTACCGCGCTGCGCTTCTTGCTGAGTTCTGCGCCAAGAACCCCTCCCCCCCATGTACATCACCCTCTACTACATAGTCACCCGGCTCCCTAACTCCCTTCGTCCAGTCAAGGACCACTTCCTCTCTGTTTGCCCCACCACACTCACCGTTGACCTCCTCGAGGAGCGCCTCCTAGCAGCTGAGAAGAGTATAGTCGTTGTAGGAGCCTCTCGTGGTGACCCTCGTGCCCCTTCTTTAAGGGGTGTTCCCCCTCCCCCTTTTGCCCTCTGTTGCATGTGCTGCTGCCGTCGACTTCGTGGGCACTGAGACGGTCAGCGCTGCGTCTGCCACTAGCGGGAGACGCCGCACCGGCAAGGGCAAGGGGGGCAAGGGCGCTGGAGGGGCTGGCGGGGGTGGTGGAGGTGGCGGTGGAGGCGGCGGAGGGAGTGGGGGTGGCGGTGGGAGTGGAGGCGGGGGTGGAGGCTTCGGCGGCGGCGGTGGAGGCGGAGGCGGCTTAGGCAGTGGCGGTGGGAGCGGAGGAGGTGGCGGTGGCGGAGGTGGCGGCGGTGGAGGTGGAGCTGGTCGGGGTGGCTCTGCACAGCGGGGCGGCTTCGGTGGTGGTCAGCGCCAGTAGCAGCAGCGCACTCGTAAGACCCCGCCCCCTCAGCAGCCTCGTGAGTGGTACGCTGCGCGTCAGCAGGGCGGGGGTGCTGGTCCTTCTGCCTACGTCCTGCGTACCGGCGACCGCACTGGTGAGCCGTGCGGTGGCCCGCACACCACCCAGCGCTGCTTCGGCCGCCTGACGGACGCTTGGCGTCTCCAGTTCCCTGACGTCACGAAGATCCCCCGCTGGGGCGAGCTGCTTGGGTTGGGGGTTGCTATCTTTGATCTCGACTATGATGCTATTCTTGCTGCCATGTATGTTGTGTCTACTAGTGATGAGGGTGACTGTTACCTGTGTGTTCCGCCTGACCCGGGCATTGAGGCTGCTGCTCTAGGTACTGGTGAGGCTGCTGCTCTAGGTGCTAGTGAGTCTGCTGCCCTAGGTGCTGGTGAGTCTGCTCTCTCAGGTACCACGTCGGCTCAGGCCGTACACACCTTCACCCTTGACTCGGGTGCTTCCCGCTCCTTCCGAGACCACACCACACTTACGCCGCTTCGTCGGCCAGTTGCGGTCTCCCTGGCGGACCCCTCTGGGGGTCCTGACCTTGCCCACTTCTCCACTGTCTTACTGTGTCCAGCTGCCCCCTCTGGCACCCTGTCAGGTCTCTACCTCCCCTCGTTCTCCACGAACTTGGTGAGTGGAGCTGACCTACAGGATGGGGGGGTTGACCACTTCACTCCTGCAAGTCAGCGAGTGACCCACTGTACGTGTGCTCAGAAGGGCCGCCACTTTGCCACGTTTACCCGTCAGCCGGGGTCGAACCTGTACACTCTGACTATTGAGTCTTCTCCGGTTCCTGAGTCTGGTCAGGTAGCTGCGTCGGGTCAGGTGATTGCTGCAGCGTCCAGGTCTTGTCCTGAGTCTGCTCCCTGCTCGTGTCGTCTCTTGTCCCACCAAACTCTCCTCTTGCACCACCGCCTTGGTCACCCCTCCTTGCCTCGTCTCTGAGGCATGGCCTCACGTGTCCTTATCTCTGGTCTCCCCCGGCCCCTCCCTCCTCTTCCTCTGAGGCCTGCCCCTACCTGCGTTCCCTGCGTCGAGGGGCGGCAGCGCGCTGCCCCTCACTCCTCTGAGTTTCCTCCGACGGAGGCTCCGCTGCAGACTCTTCACATGGACGTGTCGGGCCCCGCCCGCGTCCGTGGCCAGGGTCACGAGCGTTACTTCCTGTTGATGGTTGATGACTACTCACGTTACACCACGGTGATCCCCTTGCGCAACAAGGGTGACGTCACTGGGGTGTTGATTGACTGGATCCGCGCAGCTCGTCTCCAGCTCAGAGAGAGTTTTGGCTCGGACTTTCTTGTTCTGCGTCTGCACTCCGACAGAGGCAGGGAGTTTCCCTCTGCTCTTCTGGGAGCCGTCTTTCGTGCACAGGGCATCCGCCAGACATTCACGCTTCCGGCCTCTCCACAGCAAAATGGGATTGCTGAGCGCCGCATTGGCATGGTCATGGACGTCGCTCGTACGTCCATGATCCATGCGGCTGCTCCCCATTTTCTGTGGCCGTTTGCGGTTCGGTACGCGGCGCATCAGATCAACCTTCAGCCCCGGGTCTCCTTGCAAGAGACCTCCCCCACCTTGCGGTGGACGTTGAAGGTTGGCGATGCGTCTGCGTTCCGTGTCTGAGGATCTCGGGCGTTTGTCCGCGACTTGTCTGCGGACAAGCTGTCCCCCCGTGCTGTTCCCTGCGTCTTCCTTGGCTTCCCCCTTGACGCGCCTGGTTGGTAGTTTTACCACCCCACCCTCGCGCCGTGTTCTGTCCTCCCAGTACGTCACGTTTGACGAGTCGGTTCCTTACTACCGTCTCTTCCCCTACCGCACTGCGCCCCTTCCCCCGCCGCCCCTCTTTCTCGCGCCAGGCCCCCCCCCGGTAGATCCTCTCCCCCCTCAGGGTCCTGCACCGTCAGGTGTGTCCCAAGTAGACGCAGTCTAGCCTGTTGAGGTAGCTGTTGACTCTAGTGCTGCTATGGGTGCTGAGCTTGCGGGTGCGGGGTCTCGGGGTGCTGAGCCTGGGGGTGCTGGGTCTGGGGGTGCTGAGCCTGGGGGTGCTGAGCCTGGGGGTGCGGAGCCTGGGGGTGCGGAGCCTGGGGGTGCTGAGCCTGGGGGTGCTGAGCCTGGGGGTCCTTCGGGTACTTCGTCTCGGCGGGAGCTACCCTCTCCACAGGAGCTGCGCGAGTGGTTTGCCAGGCGCTGGAGTCGTGCTGCTGGAGCTGGAGGTGCTGCTGTTTCTGCTGCCCCCGCGGTCGGTGCTGGAGGTGCTGGAGCCACTGGTCCTGGAGGTGCTTGTACTGGCAATACTGGAGCTGCTGGGACTGGGGGTGCTGATGGGGCTACTGGAGTTGGTCCTGCTGAAGGTGCAGTTGGTGCTGCTGGGGGTACTGGAGCTGCTGGGGGTGCTCGTGCTGGAGGTACTGCTGGGGCTGGTGCTTCTGAGGGTCCTGGAGTTGGCGCTGCTGGAGCTGGAGGTGCTGCTGGCGCTGGTGCTCCCGCTGGGGGTGCTGGTGCTGTCTCTGCTGGTTCTGGAAGCGCTTTGCGGCCGCGGCCATACTTCGTTCCGCTCCTTGAGCAGGTTCTTGATCTCCTGCCTTCTACTGGTCCTCCTCCCTTAGAGTGTCCATAGCCTGTCCAGTCGCGGTCACAGTTCGAGCCTGCCTCCCCACTGCCTGCTCCTTCTCCCTTCACTGGTCCTACTGGAGGTCTTGCTGAGCATCGTGAGCCTGCGTCTCATCCTACGTCGCCTGTTCGTGCTGCTCGCACTAGTTGTCGTGTTCCGCGTCCGCGTCCTCCTGTGGTCCCAGGCACACACCAGATGGCACTCCGTCCTTCTAGTGCTCCACTGCGTGTCCCTTTACCGTCTCCTCCAGAGTCCTCTCTTCTTGCTCTTGCTGACCCGGAGTCTGACTCTCTTCGTGCTGCCAGTCCAACTGTCACGCGTCTCCTGGCTACTGTTGTCACTGACCCTTCCTTTGAGTCCACTGCTGCGTCTGCCTTGGTTGCTGAGCTTGTCGACTTTGCTGCTCACTGTCGTCTAGGCTACACTGCTAGTCTTGTTACTGAGTCTGAGTCTGTCTGTCCTCCGTCCGTCAGGGGTGAGTGTGCTCTTAGCACGGACGTCCTTGAGGACAGGCAGGAGGATTTCCAGTGTTTTACTGTTGTTTTGCCTCATCTAGTGTCCATGTTGATTGCCCCTGAGGGAGACCCGGATGCACCAGCCATCCCGACTCCTCGATCATACGCTGAGGCGATCGAGGGTCCCTACTCCTCACAGTGGCAGTGAGCCATGGACGCAGAGATGGCTTCCTTGAAGTCCACAGGCCCCTACGTCGACGAGGTTCCCCCACCTGGGGTGAACATCGTCAGTGGCATGTGGATTTTCAGGGTGAAGCGGCCGCCGGGTTCTCCGCCTGTCTTCAAGGCGCGTTACGTGGCTCGAGGCTTCAGTCAGCGGCAGGGAGTTGACTACTTTCAGACCTTCTCTCCCACCCCGAAGATGACCACTCTTCGGGTACTGCTGCACATAGCCGCTCAGCGCGACTACGAGCTTCACTCTCTTGACTTCAGCACTGCTTTCTTGCAGGGCAGCTTGCACGAGGAGAGATCTGGCTGCGTCGCCCACCTGGCTTCACTGGGTTGTTTCCTCCTGGTAACCCAGTGGAGCTTCCGGCGGCCAGTCTACGGTCTCCGCCAGGCGCCCTGTGAGTGGCACGACACACTGAGGACTACACTTGCGGCTCTTGGGTTTGCTCCTTCTACTGCCGACCAGTCGTTGTTTCTGCGCACCGACACCTCTCTGGCGCCGTTCTACATCCTCGTGTACGTCGACGACTTGGTCGTTGCCACTGCTGATACTGCTGGAGTCGCCCGCGTGAAGTCCGAGCTGCAGAAGAGACACACGCGCACAGACCTGGGTGAATTGTGCAGCTACCTTGGTTTGCAGATCACCCGGGACAGAGCACATCACACCATTACCCTAACTCAGTCACACATGGTGCAGCAGGTCCTTCAGCGCTTCGACTTCACGTACTCCTCGCCTCAGGCCACTCCTCTGTCTACTCGCCACTCGCTCTCAGCTCTGCCTTCGGATGAGTCCGTTGAGCCGAGTGGCCCGTACCCAGAGCTTGTTGGCTGCCTCATGTACCTGATGACCTGCACACGGCCTGGCCTCGCTTACCCTCTTCGCATCTTGGCACGCTATGTTGCTCCTGGGAGACACCGACCAGAGCACATGGCTGCCGCGAAGAGGGTGTTGCGTTACTTGTGCAGTACGTCCGGCATGGGGCTAGTGCTTGGAGGGCGACGTAGAGTGGTCCTCACAGGTCACGCAGACGCTTCTTGGGCTGACGACCAGGCTACGCAGCGGTCGTCACAGGGTTACACCTTCAGCCTTGGTTCCGGCTCTGTTTTGTGGCGGTCTACCCGCTCGTCTTCTGTTCTCGGCTCCAGCTGTGAGGCTGAGATCTACGTGGGGGCCATGGCTGCGCAGGAGCTACGCTGACTGACCTTGGAGAGCCGCCTCGTTCTCCTCCGGTTCTGTACGTAGACAACAAGGCCATGCTAGCCTTGTGTCGGGAGCACAGACTGGAGCATAGAGCGAAGCACATTGCTCTTCGTTACTTCCTTGCTCGTGAGCTGCAGCAGCATGGCCAGCTGCGCATTGCTTACGTGGCCTCTGAGGCCAACACTGCTGATATCTTTACCAAGGTCCTTCCGCCTTGTGACCATCATCGGTGCTGTACGATACTAGGTCTTGTGCCTACTTGGCCTCACTTGCTCACTTCTTGACCTTGCTTGTACTGTGATCTTTCTATACCTGCACTTGCTTGTTTACCTTTATATATGATCTTGCACGTGAACTGGCCTTGTGGCCTTGAACTTGTGCTCGGAATGTGTGGTGACGTTGTGATCCACCCTGAGCTTGCGTTGCTTTGCTTGACTGGTCTTGTGACCCCTTGTTCTCCCCCACTTTGCCTATGGGGGTGTGTCAGATTTATATGACTTAGTCTGTGTAGGCTATAGTGGGGTAGCACATATGGGGTACAATATTTTTTAGGGTTTGTACTTGTACCCAACCTCCCACTAGTCAACCATTCCTCGTTTCTCCACACCCAGCTGGATCACTGCAGCCCCTCGAGCCACCCGAACGACCGTGGCAACATGTGACAATGGATTTCGTCACAGGACTACCAGTTGGCGCAAGTGGCAACGACTCGGTACTTGTCGTCGTTGATCGCTTAACGAAAATGGCGCATTTCGCACCATGCCGCACGACGATCACAGCCGAAGAAACCGCGAAACCCTTCATCTTGACCGTCGTACGACTACCGTACGAACCAGTTACCATTGGCGATAATCTGCGACCGCGACCCAAAATTCACGGTCGAAGTTCTGGCAGGAGACGTGGGCACAGTACGGCACCCGCCTGCAATTTTCGTCGTCGTACCATCCACAAACCGACGGACAGACAGAGAGGACAAACCAGACAATGGAGCAGTTGATTTGCACGAACTGCCCCGACATTACCAAGTGGGAAGATTCCGTTCCCATGCTCGAGTTTGCGTACAATAATGCCCCATCTGCAACGACCAAGCAGTCGCCGTTCTACCTGAATTACGAGATAGATCCGGTAGTACCCTCGTCAACAACTCTCGACAACCCGGTACCAAGGTCGCAGCAGTTTGTTTCGGAACTACAAGCAGCGCGCGGCAAAGCAGCGGAATTTATCCGGAACGCTAGCACGGCCGCCAGCCGCTACACCGACCGACATCGACGGAATTTACCCTTCCGTGACGGGCAAATGGTCCTCCTGGACACGAAAAACCTCAAGCTGCCCCAGCCTGCAAAACTGCGTCCTCGCTACTTGTGACCCTTTCGCATCATTCGGATGCTGACACCGGTCGCGCGAAACTTCTCCTACCGGACGACTGGAAAATCCACGACGCTTTCCACGTCAGTATACTTAGCCACTACGTGGCACCACAGTCGTCCGACGTCGCTCGACCCCACCAGGCGCCAAGTGTCTGACCTGTGGCAGATCCGACGCTTCAACCTTGGAAGATATTGAACCATCGCATTCGTGCGACCCCCGCCGGACGCCACGTCGACTTCTTACTACGCTGGGTGGATCGCACAAGCGAAGATGACACGTGGGTCCCGACTGACTCACTACAAGGGCACTCGGTACTTCGGCAGTATCTTTCTCGCAGACATGTGCCTGATATCGACCACCTTTCTTAAAGGGGGGGGGGTGGGGGGGTAGTGTAAGGAATTTCGCTCATTCCTTATTAATGCATCTCTTACGCGTACAATTCCAATTTCGGAATTCAGGCTCGGTCTGGCGACCTCGCCTTCCGAACGTCTCCCGCGTCGCCTTCGGGTTTCCCAACCCCAAACCTGCACCCAACCTTCGCGCGACTCCGCGACCTCGGCCTAGCTAGCTGTGCTATATTATGCCTAGGCCTCGTTGTTTGCTCAGTAGTAATCACTTCCGCATTATTGAGTTCTGCGCACTCTTTCATTTCACACTCATAACAGTAGCAATCCAGTGAATATATGAAAGTCGGAAGATGCACATGTAACACGAGGTCGCAGGTGTTCTCTGCTGGTTGAAAGCTTAGGTTGGGAGAGCAGGTCCGGGTGATCGATTCTGCTTTCTTTCTGCCCCTCGCCTCTTCGCCATCTGTGTTTTGCAAGCAAACCCCAGAGTGCTCAGGCTAGGGTCCCAGGCGGCTAAGGGTTTATTCCAGGGTTAATGTGCGGTAGTAGTAGATTATAGACATCACGCCGTTGCTTGCTGCTAATGGTACGTTTCTTGGTGCTTTCCGTGTCGGCACGTCTGCATGCTGCAACTGTTCTGGAATTGATGTCGTCTCGCGCGTTTCTCTCGTCCTGCGCCATTGGCGGGTCGTTTCTGATGCGCAGGCGTTATTTCTGTTGTTCGAGTCGTCGTCAGGCTACGGCCTGTTCGAAGTCAAGGCGCTGGACGAGTTGGCGCAGAGCTCAGACGCTGTCCAAGCGTCCGTGGCGGATCTCACTCGCTTCAGCCAGGTCGTCAATCTCTCCGCATTCAAACCCTTCAGCTCGGCGGCAGACGCGCTCGAGCAATGCAACGCCGTCTCTGAAGGTACGCTCTTTGTTCTCCGTTCCATCTCCTCGTTCTCGCGTCTTTCCGTGCGGCGCCCTCCGCTAGTGTTATCCGCACAGACCGTCTTAGCGCACTGGGTATGTCCTTCGGGTGCGTGTTGCGTGTGGCGGCGTGCGCTCGTGCTGAGTCTTGCCGACGGAGCTCACGCTGTTGCGCGTACCGCGCGGCTGTGCTGGTGCGTGTGTTTCGTTCTTGCAGGGCTGTTGACCCCGGAGCTGCAGAGCTTTCTGGAGATGAATCTGCCCAAGGCGAAGGGCAAGGCGGGCAAGAAGCCGTCGTACCAGCTGGGCGTGTCGGAGTCGAAGCTCGGCTCCGCCATTCAGGAGACGGCGGGCGTGCCGTGCGTCAGCAACGACCTCGTCATGGAGCTCATGCGCGGCGTGCGGCTGCACTTCGCGCGGTTCGTGAAGGAGCTGAAGGAGGGCGACGTGGCGAAGGCGCAGCTGGGGTTGGGGCACAGCTACAGCCGCAGCAAGGTGAAGTTCAACGTGAACCGCGTCGACAACATGATCATCCAGGCCATCTCGCTGCTCGACACGCTCGACAAAGACGTCAACACCTTCTGCATGCGCGTCAGGTGACTTCAACGTTCCACCTTCCCGCTCGCCCCGTGCGCATTCGCCGTGCAGTTGCGGCGTCTTTGGCTGGATGTGCTTGTTTGAGCCACGCGAGACGCGGAGCGCCCAAATCCCCGGAACCTTGAGACGCTCCTCTCGCGTCAATTCCCCCTGCAGCCCCTCTCATCGCGTGTCTGTGCGCACTCGTCTTTGTGTGTGCCCTTGTCTGCGTGGCGGCGCAGGGAGTGGTACTCGTGGCACTTCCCCGAGCTCGCGCGCATCGTGACGGACAACTACACGTACGCGCGCGTGGCGCGGCGCGTGAAGGATAAGGCGACGTTGACGGAGGAGGCGGTGGCGGAGCTGACGGAGATCATCGGCGACGAGGACAAGGCCAAGGAGGTGCTCGACGCCGCCAAGGCCAGCATGGGTCCGTGCGGGGGCGGGGGCGTGGGGAGGAAGGCGAAAGGGAGGGATGTTGTGTTGCTGGCTGGGGCCAGGCAGGGGGGCACGCAGGGCATCGCGGCGAGAGATGGGGCGCGTAAGCAGAGGAGCGAGGAGGGTTGCAGAGGCAGCAGGAGGGAGGGTGGGGGTGGGGAAGTGCGGGGCAGGGGTTTAGGCAGTGGTGTTGGCGTGAGAGTTTGCTGGTGGGGCGGCGATTTGAAATTTGCTGCATTCGCGTTCGAGCGCCAGGTTCCTTGCGTACTCCCCTCGCCCCTCCGCGCTTTCCCCCGCCCCATCCATCCATGCAGCTCCCTTCCGCTCCCCTCCTCCTCAACCTCACCGCCCTCCCCGCTCCCTCTCAGCGTCCCCCAACCTCCGCCCTGCGCTGCCCCCTTACCCTCCTTCGTTACCCCCCTCTCCCCCTCCCCCCTGCTACCCCCCCCCACAGGCCAGGACATCTCGCCGATCGACCTGATCAACATAGAGGCGTTCGCGTCGCGCGTGGTGGCGCTGGTGGAGTACCGGCGCGACCTGCACTCGTACCTGTCCGCCAAGATGCACGACGTGGCGCCCAACCTCGCCGCGCTGATCGGCGAGATGGTGGGCGCGCGCCTCATCTCGCACGCGGGCAGCCTGACCAACCTCGCCAAGTACCCTGCCAGCACCGTGCAGATCCTCGGCGCCGAAAAGGCGCTCTTCAGGTACGCACCCGCCCTGCACGCACCAGGCAGGCACCCCCCTTGGCAATGCGCCCAATGTACCCTCACATGTTTCCCGTTTCTACCATAATTCTCCTCCCACACACCTCTCCCCCTCTCCTTCCGGCCGCCCCCCCCATCCCTCATCTCACAATTCAAACCTGTTCCGAAATTATTCCCCCCACCTCCCCCTCTGGGCAGGGCACTGAAGACGAAGGGCAACACGCCCAAGTACGGGCTCATCTTCCACTCGTCGTTCATCGGCCGCGCGTCCGCCAAGAACAAGGGGCGCATCAGCCGCTACCTCGCCAACAAGTGCTCCATGGCCTCGCGCATCGACTGCTTCTCAGGTGCCGCCCACCCATTCTCATTAATTCTTGTGGTGATGCTGCCACCCCCCCCCCCCCCCCCCCCCCCCCCTCGTTTCTGCAAGCCACAGTTGTCAGCTGGCCTGCTGTGCTCTGGCTGCCCACCAACTCATCTGTTCCTCTCTCACTCTTGTCCCCTCCTCCCACTCGTGCCACGGGTGCTGCTGTGCTCGCAGAGGCATCGACGAGTGTGTTTGGGGAGAAGTTGAAGCAGCAGGTGGAGGACCGCCTCGAGTTCTACGACAAGGGCGTGGCGCCCAAGCGCAACCTCGACGTCATGAAGGCCGCCATCTCCGCCGCCAAGGCCGAGGCGCAGGCCGACGCTGATGTCGGCTCCAAGCGCCCTGCAGGTGGGCTCCCCTCCCGGGTGTGTCCTCATGACACGGTGGCAGGGTTGTTGGTGGGCAACATTTGATGACTTGGGTGCTCCCCTGGTACATGCGATGAACCCAGTGCAGCACACTTGAGTTGCTTGGCACATCGTCACCTCAACCCATGCCTTGCCATGTGCTGGTTTGCTCAACCCGTCCTTGCATTCTTGTATTCTTGTACTGCTGTGGCTGTTGCGTGCTGGCAGAGGGAGAGGCAGCAGCAGGGGGTGCAGCAGAGGGGACACCAAAGAAGAAGAAGAAAAAGGCAGCAGCGGAGGCGGATGGGGAGACGCCAGGCAGTAGCAAGAAGAGCAAGAAGAAGGTGAAGGATGCGGCTGCAGGGGAGGCAGCAGCAGCCAGTGCTGAGAAACCAAAGAAGAAAAAGAAGGCTGCCGCCACATAGCCTTGGGGAGATTTTTTGAATTACCAAATACCGGTAGCCACTAGGAAGCTGATGGATAGCACACATTTTGGACTTACCCAAATTGTATAATGATTTTTTCACACCATGTGAGGCAGGCAACGAGTTGACTGCTCGACACGAGTACACGGTAAATCATAACAGAGCAAGAGCGGAAAGGTGGGTTGGTTACTGCTTGTGAGCGTCATGCATGTGGTGTGTTCCGCGTGCCGCCATTTTCACCGAGTGTTCGTCCTCCGTTGAAGCTCCTCCCCCACCGCCTTGTATTAGCACTCAAATTCTTCACGAACGCTCTTCTGCTCCGCCGCTTCTCCGTCTGCGCCTCTCCGCGTGTGCCTAGATCGTTACCGATTCCCAACAATGCGTTCATAGAAACCTCGAGCCACTAATGCGCGGGCGACAATGCGCTTCCACGTCACACCGCGTAAGCGTCTCGGGAAACGACCTCCCGTACTGTTGTGATCCCCCAGACGCGAATGCGTGTGTACCATCCCCCATGGATCACATCAGTCAACCTCCCTCCTTCTCTTCCCCCCATCCTCTTCGCCTTCCACCGCATTCCGCAAGCGTCACCCTGCCACCCAATTCCTGCCACCCCTCTCCCCGCCACCCCACTCCCTGCGACCTCTCCAGGCGACTTCTACCCGCATCGATCCACCGCCGCCACTGGCGCGCCCGCTGCCGCCGGGGCATCCGCCGAGCCCCGCCCCTGGTTGAGGTACGCACCAGGCGCGCGCCCGCTTTGTCCCACACCCGTGCGCATTGCTCTCCCCTCAACTACCCCCTCCACGTGCGCGCGTGCCCGACCCCTCTAGCAGTGCGGCGTGCGCGTGGGCGGCGCCGTTCGCCCTGGGCGCCGTGGTGGGCGCCGTGGCGTGCTCGCTGCTGCTGCTGCCCCTCGCACTCGCGCCGCTGGACGCGCAGGGGGGAGACGAGGAGCTCCTACTGCAATCACACGCGGACACGTGGCAGGAGGGGCAAGGGGCGTGGCAGGGGGGAGCGGCAGCATCGTGGGAGCAGCCTGTGGTGCCCCACCCGCCTGCCACTGCTGCGAGCGGCGCACTGCCCTTGGCTCCCCTCGCTGCCCTTGACTCCGGCGGTGCAGCTGCCAGTGGTGGTGGTGCGGGTGAGAGCGATGGTGACACGGAGGCAGCAGAGGTGTGGGCAGGAGATGCTGCCATGCGTCATCTGCAAGGCAGGTGGGTGTCACGCAAGGCAGGTGGGTGTCACGCAAGGCAGGTGGGTGTCACGCACGCCTGCTACCCGCACGCACCTCTCGTCCCCTCGCCCACCTCCTGGCCCTGCACGCTCTTCCCCCCTTCTCTGCCAATACCCTCAGCAGGCACTCAGCACGCACCATGCACGCTGTTAGCGCGCCACAGATGCTTCCCGTCCCTTGTCGCCCTGCATCTGCATGCGCGCCCCCTGGCAGGCACCCAGCAGTGCGCGCGCTGGTGGAGGCGAACGGGCAGGTGATGCGGCAGCAGCGGCAGGCGGTGGCAGTGGCGGAGGAGGACGAGAGGGGCATGCACGCCGTGCTCACTGCCGCCCTGCAGGTGATGGCATGCACGCCGTGCTCACTGCCGCCCTGCAGGTGATGGCATGCACGCCGTGCTCACTGCCGCCCTGCAGGTGATGGCATGCACGCCGTGCTCACTGCCGCCCTGCAGGTGATGGCATGCACGCCGTGCTCACTGCCGCCCTGCAGGTGATGGCATGCACGCCGTGCTCACTGCCGCCCTGCAGGTGATGGCATGCACGCCGTGCTCACTGCCGCCCTGCAGGTGATGGCATGCACGCCGTGCTCACTGCCGCCCTGCAGGTGATGGCATGCACGCCGTGCTCACTGCCGCCCTGCAGGTGATGGCATGCACGCCGTGCTCACTGCCGCCCTGCAGGTGATGGCATGCACGCCGTGCTCACTGCCGCCCTGCAGGTGATGCGCGGCCGGGGGGAGGCAGGGCAAGGGGATAGCTTTTGAGTCAGCCGGCTCAAAATTACAGATTTGTATTGGAGGGTTGAAAGGGGAATGGTGGCTGTTTAAGGGAGCGTGATGAAAGGGGATGCGTGGCGGATGATGCGTGGTATGAGCGGAGCACTTGAGTCATCTCGTTCCCGTCACCAACTTCTCTCTCGCCCTGTGCTACTGCCTTGCTCCAGGAGCTGGAGAGGGAGCGTCTCATGCCACATGGCACCGTGTCATTGGTGCAACCGGAATCCCTGGCGGCGCTGGCAGAGGCAGTGAGGGCGAGGCAGGGGGAGGCAAGCAAGGCAGGCGCGGAGGGGCAGGCAGCAGGCGCCGCAGCAGGCGCATTGCAGACAGCAGAGCATGCGGTGGTTGGTGCAGTGGCAGCGGGGGGAGGGCAGACGGCGGACTTGCCATCCCTTGTCAGCCAGGCACAGGCGGCTGGGCGCGTGGGGGGGCGCATGGGGCATGGTGCAGCAGGGGCGAGCGCAGGAGAGGGGCAGGGGAAGGTTGCAGCGGATGGGGAGATATGGGCGGTGGGGGGGAAGGGATGAGGCGGTGCATGGTGCTGCAGTGTGCGGTGGAGAGACAGCAGCGGGCAGTCGCTGCAGGTGCGTTGAGGGTCCCAACACACAGGGCGGGCTGGGCTGGCTTGGGGGATGACCATGGGAAACCACGTGTGGCAGAAGGAAGGCTGGCATGTGCGTGTGGCAGTGGTGGCAGTGGTGGCATGTGCGTGTGGCAGTGGTGGCATGTGCGTGTGGCAGTGGTGGCATGTGCGTGTGGCAGTGGTGGCATGTGCGTGTGGCAGTGTGGCATGTGCGTGTGGCAGTGGTGGCATGTGCGTGTGGCAGTGGTGGCATGTGCGTGTGGCAGTGGTGGCATGTGCGTGTGGCAGTGGTGGCATGTGCGTGTGGCAGTGGTGGCATGTGCGTGTGGCAGTGGTGGCATGTGCGTGTGGCAGTGGTGGCATGACAGGCATGCATGCATGCAGCACGTGCTCTGTACACTGCACTCCGTCCTGTCCCTCCCTTCTCCACTTCTCGCCCTCCCATTCCCCCTCATTCCTCTCTCGCCCCATACCCCATGCCCCGTGCGCGTTGCCCTCGTACCCCGTTATGGCAGCGCGGGCGCGGGTGGAGGCGGAGCAGAGGGCGGGCAAGGCGTGGGCGGTGCTGCAGCGGCAGCAGCAGTGGGGCGAGGGCGAGGGCGCAGGCAGCGTGGCGGGGGAGGCGGTGCGCGCCGGCACAGTGGTGACAGTGGGGGATGTGGAGGCCAACCTCACTGCCTCGCCCTCTGATGCCCGTGCGCTGCTGCCTTACATGCATGCACATGTGCACACATGCTCCCATCCACCCTTGCACCCATGCGCCCATGCACACCTGCACATATGCACTTCTGCACCCATGCACATCTGCACACATGCACTTCTGCACCCATGCACAGATGCACTGGTCGTGTGCGTTATTCAGGTGGGCGTATCTGTCCTTGTGTGCTTCAGTCAGCCCCATCTGACATCCCTTGTCACATGCCAGGTTCTTCCCCAATCGCCATTCTTCCCTTCCCATACCCCCCCTGCACCATGCTACCCCCGTGCCCACATGCCGCACCTCCCCCACCCCGGCCAGCGCACGTGGACTCCTTCCACCGCCTGCTGCTCTACCTGCGCCCGCTCTCCTCGCTCTTCTCGCTGCCCCTCGCTGCCCTCCTCTCCCCCAACGACACCCACCCACTCGCCCCTCGCCTGCAATCCCTCATCGACGCCACGTCAGCACGCCTGCAAGCCGCCTCTGCCAGCCTGGCGGCGGCCCAGTCAGCCTTGGAGTGGTCGGAGCGGCGGCTGTGGCTGCGGTGTGGCGTGAAGGCCGGGGCCACGGTGTGGGAGGAGCGGCACGACGGCGAGCTGCAGCGGTACAGAGCGGTGGCGGGGGCAGCGTTTGACAAGTGGTGTGTGGCGTGGGGAGAGGCTCGCCCCTCTCACCGCCTCACGGTTGCCCTCACTGCCCCGCCTCACCTCTGGTGGCGCGGCGGCTTGTGGGATGGCGAGCAAGGAGCAGCTGGGGCGGAGGGTGGTGCTGCAAGCGAGAGAGGAGGGGGGGTGGATGCAGGCAGTGCAGCAGGCGAGGGGGAGAGGGATGCTCCCGAGATCTCCTTTCTGCTGCTGGCAGATCCAGGAGCAGCGCAGCCTGCGGTGGTAGCAGTGGCGCCAGAGCAGGTGGTGCAGCGTCTTCATGCCTGCGCCTCCACACTGCCTCGCATGCGCCCAGCAGCAGCAGCAGCAGCAACATCAGCACCCAACCCCACCCCAGATGCTGAAACTTCTCCTTCCATTCCTCACATGGGCCCTCCCCTAGCGGAGCTGCTGCTGCTGCTGCCACCCGTCAGCACCCACGCAGGGCAGCAGGGCGACGAGCAGGGCGAGGGGCAGCCAAGCGACAAACAATGGGGCGAGGGGCAGCAGGCAGGTGGGGTGGAGGCGTGGCAAGCGGCGGGTCGCAGCATTGACCCGCAGCTCATGCTCGTGCTGCCGCTCGTGGCGCCTCATGCTCATGGTGCTGCCGTGCAGGTGAGCGGCGCAGAGGGTGGTGGCGGCGAGGCGGCAGAGGGCGGTGCGCGTGCAGCGGGGATGGCCCCGATGTCGGAGTGGGAGGGATTCGAGCTGCTGGCCCGCGCAGCCACTGGCCGCCTGCTGCTCCTGCTGACGTGGCGGGACCTGCCAGCTGTGATGCATGGGGAGGGCGAGGAGGGGTGCGAGTGGCTGGAGCAGCTGACTGCAGGGATGGCCGAGGATGGGCGCATGGGGGTGGTGGGCGTGCGGACAAGCAGAGTGGAGAGGGGCGTGGGGAGGGCAGAGGAGGAGAGGGGGGGCAGGCAAGGAGAATTGGAGGGGGAGGTGGGTGGTGGGGCAGTGGTGGCAGCAATGGCGCAGTGGGGTGTGGTGGGCAAGGAGGGAAAGGACGGGGCAGGTCTGAGTGGGAGTGGTGATGCAGGCAAGGGGGCGGCAGGGGGCAGAGAGGAGGCAGGGAGGCGCCTCACAGGCTACGTGGACGGCACTCCCCTGCTTGTGCGCCGCCACGCCCTCATGACACTTGGCGGGCTGGGATTGGCTCCCGGAGCACCAGCTGCAGGCGCGGCAGCAGCAGTGGCAGGTTGGGCTCTGTGCACGCGCATGTGGCTGGCTGGATTCAGGGTGAGGGCAATGCGCGCATTCACGGGACACACTTTGGGGCCTTTTGGATGAGACACCTGGGCGTTATAGTGAAGGAGCCATGGGCTTCAAAATGATGCAGCCATGTGCATCACCACATGCAGTCCAAGCCAGGGATTAGATGCTACCAGGATTAGGGCGTATTCCTGAGCTCGTGTCATCCGGTGTTGGTGTCATCCGAAAACTTTGGAACGCACGTGATTGGCCCGTTGTAAGTTTTGGGCCAATCGCGTGCGTTCCAAAGTTTTCGGATGACACCAACACCGGATGACACGAGCTCAGGAATATGCCCTTAGATGCTACCAGGGATTAGATGCTACCAGGCATTAGATGCTACCAGGGATTAGATGCTACCCAGGATTAGATGCTTCCAGGGAGATGCTACCAGGGTTTCTTTCCTTCCACCTGCCTGTGTTGGCCCCTTCACAACTGCCTTCGTGCACTGCACATGCCTGTTCCTCAACTGTTAGTTTCTCTGCTCGATCAGCTTACTCCTCAACTGATACACTGCTCCCATCCGCTCCCCTCCCCTCTTTTTGCCGTTCCCCCCTCACTTTTTTCCTCTCTCCCTCCTTCGTCTTCATCCTTGCTCCTTGCAAGTTTTTCGTATCACATCGCACGCCTTGCAACCTTTTTCCACGAGCCCAAGCAATCCTCGATTGTTGTTGGGCCATGCTTACAATAAGTCAAACTCACGCTGGCGGCCTTATATGCACAGTTGTATAAGTGTGTACTTAGTAAAACTGATGCTTTACAAGCTAAAATGAGAGGCTAACATAGTGCAGACTAGTTGAACTGTAGTGAGGGCTTTTTTGGTTGTTTGCTTGTTTGTTTGTTTGTTTGTTTTTTAATAGGACCAGACGAGCGCAGCCACATGACCCGGCGAAAGAAAAACGTCAGGAACAAGCGCTTCCACCCCTAAAAAGCGGAAGGATCCGCACATGTGCTGGAAGTGCAGCGAACGTTCTTCATTTGCAAGCACCGATGACCAATGATGTTCGCAATGTGAGAAATGTACGAGGAATGAATGAGCTAAGAATGAGGTGGGTACAAGTATGAAAATTTAAAAGTATTGTACCCCATATTGTCTACCCCACTACAGCCTACAATATAGTTCTGACACACCCCCATAATCAAAGTGGGGGACAAGCAAGAGAACAAGACAACGTCAAGCTCAGGGTGGATCACAACGTCACCACACATTCTGAGCACAAGTTCAAGGTCACAAGGCCAGTTCATATACAAGATTATAAATCAAGGTGAACAAGCAAGACATTGATCTCAATCTAGCAAAGGTAAGCAAGCAGGTGCAGGTATATATAGACCACAATACAAGCAAAGTCAAGAGGTAAGCAAGTGAGGCCAGGTAGGCACAAAACCTAACATAGTACACAAACGCTGATGATCACAAGGCTGAAGTGCCTTGGTAAAGATATCAGCAGTGTTGGCCCGAGTGGCCACGCTGCTGCAACTCTCGAGCAAGGAAGTAGCGTAGAGCAATGTGCTTCGTTCTGTGCTCCTGACACAAGGCCAGCATGGCCTTGCTGTCTACGTACAGAACTGGAGGAGAACGAGGCGCCTCTCCCAAGTCGGTCAGCAGGTAGGTAAGCCAGCGTAATTCCTGTGCAGCCATGGCCCCTGCGTAGATCTCAGCCTCACAAATGGACCTGAGAACAGAAGACGAGCGGGTAGACCACCAGTAAACTGCTTGAGCTGGTCTACTTGACTCACAAGTGCTTGTGTGCTTGCAGCCATCATCCTGCGGTTGCTGCAACCACTGCCTCCCGTGAGTGCTGGAGGTGAGGGGAGAAGGGATTGCAAGGAAGAGGAAGAGAGGCGTGAGGATGTGAAAGAGTAGATGCTAGCTGGAGAAGGGACTAAGACAAAAAGCAATGCACGGTGCATTCGGCCTGCTGCTGCATCTTCACTTCAGTCCAAGTTACCTCTTTCTTGGAAGAGATTGAATCGTCCCCACCCAAGAGCAGGCAGGTTCACAAAGAGCAATCCGCCACACTCCAGAGCTTGAAAGCTGAGAGGAACACTCACAGGCACGCACACACGCATACGCACACATGCACACCCCCAACCCCCTTACTCCCTTCCCCCTGCCCACACGCACATCACAGTCCCTGTCCACTCGCTGCCATTCCCGTCCGCCTAGCAGGACATGAGGCACACACAAGCATGGGGAGAGAAAACACGCATAGAAGCGGCGAGCAAGGGAGGGTTAGGAGCAGCGGGAGAGGAGGCGTGTGGCAAAGACAAGAACAAGAGACATGACTATTGCCTCTGCGCGGCGACACTCTACGACTCGTTTCACGGCCCCCCAGCTAGCACCCCCTGGCACGTACCATGCTCAGTCTACCACGCCTTCTCTTCCAGCGTGATGTTCCAGGCGGCTCTGTTGCTGCTGCGCCAAGCCTTCGTTCCAAGCACCGCCGCTTGTTGCTGTTGCTCCAGGCGCCCTGCCGCTATTCGTGCTCCCGGTTGCTCCGTTGCTTCTGCTACTGCAGTTGTTGCTGCCGTCGCAACCACCGGTCGCTGCAGGGAGGAGGAGAGGACAGGCGCGGAGGGGTTAGGGAGCTGAGAAGAGTGGCATGATCATCTGAGAGCACCACTGCAAAGACTCATCTCATGGCACGTGGAAAAACGGTAGACAAGAGAGAACGGAACACTGAAAGCAGGAAGATGGTGAAAAGTGAAACGTGAAGTGGTGAAGTGCTTGACCTGATCCACTCACAACCTCTTGTGTGCTTGCCATCATCCTGCAGTTGCTGCAGCCACTGGTGATCCCCTTCCACTCGCTGACTCCCCTTCCACTCGCTGACACCCCCGTCCATCTCGCAGGACATGAAGCACACACACGCATGGGGAGAGAGAGACACATGCAGAAGCGGCACAACAAGGGAGGGTTAGGAGCAGCAGGAAAGGAGGCGAGTGGTGGAGGCAAGAGCAATAGACATGACACTTGCCTCTGCGCGGCGACACTTCACGGCCCCCCTGCAAGCATCCCCTGGCACGTACCACTCCCGCACCATGCCTTCACTTCAGGCGTGCTGCTCTGAGCCATGCCTTCACTTCAGGCGTGCTGCTCCAGGTTGCTCCCCTTTCTCCTCGCAGTAAGGTCATCTCTCGTGCAGCCATGTCGACTCCCCGTCTCGCTGACATTCCCGTCCGCCTTGCAGCCCATGAGGCACACACACGCACGGGGAGAGGGACACGCACACACGCAGAGGCGGTGCAACAAGTGATGGTCAGAAGCAGCAGGAGGCGAGTGGCGGAAGCAACGGCAACAGACACGGCAACGGAAGTGGGGGGAGGAAGGGTGGCAAGGACGAGGAACAGAGGCGTGAGCAAGGAGAGGAGAAGCTAGTGGATGAGGGGCTGCGGCTGTGAAAGAGCACCGGCAAGGCAGAAGAGATGGCAAATGGCAGCTGGAGAAGGGACTGAGACAAGGCACAATGGAGGATGCGCTCACCTTTTGCAAAATGGAGAAATGGAGAAATGGAGCCCATTGGTTGAGAGCCTGGCGAACGGTGGTGGGCTCGACCAGCTGCTGGTTACCCCGAACGGCAGTGGAGAAATATTTCTCCACCTTCTTGGGGTACTGGAGCTGGAGGTGCTGCGGGCGCTGGGCCTACCACTGGGGGTACTGGTGCTGTCCCTGCTGTGTCTGGAGTCGCTGCGCGGCCTCGGCCGTACTTCGTTCTGCTCCTTGAGCAGGTTCTTGGTCTCCCGCCTTCTACTGGTCCTCCTCCTTCCTTAGAGTGTCCACAGCCTGTCCCGTCACAGTCACAGTCACAGCCTGCCTGTGAGAGTACGACGGCTTATGCCAGTTATGCTTGCTTGCCTTTACTTTATTATGCTATTTCTAGCATAGGATAATTATATACATGCATGAATTGCTTGATTTCCTAGGCTAGGTGCTTTCCTATATTTTATTATAGTTATAGCACCGAGCTAGGTTGCGTGCACCGAATTCTGGCTTTTCGGTTGCCACTGAATTGCCTTCTACCGAATTCGGGAAGGATCTGTTCGGGACGCTTCGCGACCCGCGGAACCTTCGCGTAACACCTGGTTACAGGGCCTTGTGTCGAGCCTATATATAGCCTCGTGTTGTACCCAGGTGATCAATTCAATTCACATTCTCTTTTCTGAGCTCGATCCTCGATCCTCACACTTGGTAATCCGAGCCTGTTCGAAGCGAAGTTTTTCTACCGCTAAAACACAGCTTTTAAAACCGAGGGGGTGACGACGGAAAGCGCCAATTTCGGGTATGTAAACCAGTTCCGCGCTATTTTCTAACGTCCCCCTCGAACCGGTTTTCGAACACTCCTCAGGTCCAGTGGCGAAAAAGTTGGAATTTCTACCGTCGGATCGATTCGAATCTCAACGGCCCTGGGAATTTCGACCAAAACGGTTGGAATTTGGAGCGTCGGATCGAATTTCTTCTCATCGGCCGAGATCGGACGCGAATTTTGACTGAGGGAGAATTACGCGACCTACAGAATCAACGCTCGTCAATTCTACATTCGATTCAACTCACAGTAAGATGACCAGCGCCTAGAATTCAATTATTTTCGTCGCAAATCTTCCTGTACATCGCCAAATGGAGGAAAATGGTGATAATTCCGTACGAAAAATTACGGAGTTATACACCGGCCTGGACCAGACGCGAGCGGCACTCCAGCGAATAGAGGAGCTTCTCGCGAACCTGTTGGTAGCCGCCACAGCAGCAACGAACGTAGCAGCGAATGCAGCAGCGACGCCAGCAGCAGCAAGTAGCGACACCGACACTTCACCCAGCAGCAGTGGCAGCAGCTACAGTGAATCTTGAGGCGGCACGTCCGTGTCAAACATCATATATGTTGTTGTAGTTGTTTAGGCTACAATGGGTTAGCCTATAGGGGGTACACATTTCTAGGTTTTCATACTTGTACTCATTTCACTGTTAGTTCATTCATTCTTGTTCAACATGGTATAGAGCAGGTCCTTCCTAGGACCGTTTTTTCCTTAGGGCCCACCACTACCTACCTGCCTACCTGCCTACCTACCTACCTACGCCCTAGGGCGCCTCGGCGTTCACGCCCCTAGAGGCCCTGTAGGCCCCGCGCTCTCGCACCTAGAGGCCCCGAATCGGCCCCACGTCAAACCCTAAAGGCCCGCGCCGGCCCCGATCTCGTCCCCTAGAGGCCCGCGTCGGCCCCGAGCCTACCCCTAGAGGCCCGCGACGGCCCCGCGCCTACCCCTAGAGACCCGCGACGGCCCCGTGCCTACCCCTAGTGGCCCGCGTCGGCCCCGAGCCTACCCCTAGAGGCCCGCGAAGGCCCCGCACTTACCCCTACAGGCCCGCGACGGCCCCGCGCTTACCCCTAGCGGCCCGCGTCGGCCCCCTTCCCTACCCCTAGAGGCCCGCGTCGGCCCCGTCCCTACCCCTAGAGGCCCGCGTCGGCCCCCGTCCCTACCCCTAACGGCTCCCGTCGGCCCCGCACTTACCCCACCCCGCTCCCCGCGCTCGCCCTTAGCGGCCTCGATCGGCCCCATCCACACCGAGCAGCCCAGCCCTACCGGAACCGAGCCGCCCGAACCGAGCCGCCAGCCCGAACCGAGCAGCCCGAACCGAGCCGCGCTGCCCGAACCGAGCCGCCCGAACCGAGCCGCCCGAACCGAGTCGCGCCGCCTGACCCGAGCCGCGCCGCCCTACCTATTCTGAGCCGCGCCGCCCTACCTGTACCGAGCCGCGCCGCCCTACCTACCCTACTGCTCCTACTGTTCTACCTACTGCTGCTACCATGGCGAGACCCCCAGTGCTAGCCTTCGACGCTGAGGGTCGCCCAGTTAAGTTCGACACCTGGCTTGATGACCTCCACCTCTTCCTACAGCTCACTGCCAAGGAAGACATCTCACTGTACGATCACGCCTTAGGTCACGCTACTGCTCCTGCTGCTACTGCTGACAGCACTGCTCGCTCACAGTGGCAGACTCGTGACGCCCATGCTCGCTTCGCTATTCGCAACTCTCTGCCGA